ATGCTCAGAGCACCTCAGCGGTAACTTGGCAGCTGGTCTGGACTCGAACCTGTGACCTTCCTTAGGTCTGCTTCCTTAAGCACCAAACCACCAATGCTGCTAAGAGTGCAGCAATCAATTAAAATAAAAAATAGTTGCAATATTAACCCTTTGATGCATGACCCATGATATACTGAGTTAAAAAAAAATGTTGAAAAAGTGTTTTTATGTGTTTTTAGACATAAAAATAAGAACCGATTTGGTTCTGTTTTTATACACCAAATTTTCTTTTTGAATGTTAACACAATTATTCTGCAGTTGCAAAGGCTGACCACTGTATGGCAGTGTTGGGTGATTCTCAGGTGTCCACTGTAGAGGCTTATATGGCAACACTGCCATCAAAACCTATTCTTATCATAGAAAATGACATTTTAATAGCTGTCCACTGTAGTGACCGTCATGCATGAAAGGGTTAATAACAGATATTAATTTGACCTCGCCTTCAACCAATCCGTTTTTTGTTTTTGTTTTTTTGCCAGTCACTTGTTAAATATTTACAACATTTGACATTATGCTGCGTTACTTTCCATTCATTCCATCCGCGCGGCCTCTCCTAGGGGGCCGTGCCTGCCCCCGACTTTGGGAACCTCTAATTTAAATCAACCGGTACCGGATTAGTTCCATTTAGCTTGTTAACCTTTTCAGTCAGGTATTCATGTTTTCGTAGAAAGACGATCAGCAACTTATCAGCGGTTAGCAATAAATCGTTATCGTGGAGCGGTTATGTTGACTAGTCGATTTTTCTGTACAACCCATACCGATGAGAGAGCTCATTGAAAGAGTATTATAGCTCTACACCGGGGGTCACCAACATGGGGCCTGGGGCCACCTGGTAGCCCGCATGGACTACCTAAAGTGCCCGTGGGGTATGTTCTAAGAAAATCAAACTAGTCAACAAGAGGGTCAACAATTGTACTGTTACTGTGCTTTTTGTATCAGTTACACTTGCTGTCTGCTATCGTACATCTCAGGACTAGATCAAGCAGCATTAGTTCCCTTTTTGATTATTATTGCATCGTTCGGGAAGTCCGTATCAAACGAGCTCTTCGTATTACTAAGCACTCAGTTTCAAAAGGTTTTTTTTGTATGCTTTTGCAAGTTTCCCCGCACACCTAGTAAAACCTTTGTAACCATTTTCCCCCCCCTTTAAATGACAACACCTAGTAAAACCTTTGTAACCATTTCCCCCCCTTTAAATGACAAAATGAGAGCGTTAACAATCTAAGAAGAATGAGTGCATGGCAACAATAACAATTATTGTCATGCAAATATTTCTTTATCGCACTCCGTCATTGCTCAACGGTTCTTACCCATGGTTACTGCGACCTGTTAATCTGTGGTTTGGGCGTTCTCCAGCACGTACCAGCCTGCATGAGATGACGCGATAAGCCGGAATGACTTACATTTGATGTAAATGTCATTACTTTTTGAAGAGCAAGATAGGTATCTCTGACTCATCTCTGCTCTGCCCCGGAGGAAACACGAGCACGCTGCAACTTCACCGATGATTAAATAAGTCGCACACGAAACCGAAAATAGGGCTCGACGAGCAGTTCAGACAAAGACGTTGCCCTTCGCGTGGGGTTTGTAACTTCAGAGTGGCCCCTATATATGTAAATGACAAAAAAAAAAAATATGGATTGCGCTAAAGAACCTACTAGGGTTTTTTAATGATATTGTTTTTTTATCCTGTCTGTATTTCTTGCTGTTGTCCTTTACATCAACTCCCTGAACAACTACAGTACAGACACCCACATCGAGCTGCATACCATAAAGGGTGAAGATTTCCACCGAAATTTCCCATAATACTGACTCACCTAAAGCGAAGTACACACATAAAGGTAATGTTAATACCCTTTAAGCGTTGCATTCAGCGAGCCACTAGCATCCAAGCCCCATCACCTTGGTAAATGTCCATCGTTCCACCCACTTAGGGCATTGTTTTCTCAAGACTGGGTCGCGACCTTTAGATGGGTTTTTTGGGGGGTCGTCTTGCATAATGTTTCATCGCAACAGCTGTCGGCATCCAACTTCAAAATAGCGGCTTGTGTCTTTGATTTTTTTTTCCAAAGAGTGTATAATTAATTTTTCTGATGTATTTAGTGTTAGCATTCTGTCCTGTCTTTAAGAGCGCAAAGAGCCGCCACTAACCTCAACTGTGTCATTCTGGATAAGCATTGCGACAGATTATCCTGTCCTCAGTAGGGCCAGTATTTCAAAAAATAATAACCAAGCACGGGAACAGGCTGATTGGCCGGACCCTGGACTGGAACGCGCTACCAAAAACGCAGACAGGCCCACCTATCTCATTAACAACGTTTTGTATCATTTGTAATCTAAATTTTACAAATCTTTTACAAATCTGTGGACATTTTACTGCTAATATATATAAATTTTTGGAATTGATGTTTTTTTTGCCAAGTTTTTACATTTAAGAAAACCTTCAATTCTTTGATTGCCTTCATGAATCTGTCATGTATTTACAGCCAAACTTGTGCCACGGTCCCAGGTTGATCACCCTTGTTGACGTCAGATGTACTGAAGATTTAACTTCATTATTTTATTGACTATTTCATTGACCAAAGTCCACCTCCAGCTAAACCTCTCCGAAATTGAACTACTGGTCTGCCCTGCCAAGCCAACCAAACAACACGACATCGCCGTCAAAACTGACTCCGTATCTTTATCTTTTAACACTTTCGCGACTACCTTCGCCTTGACATCATATTGTAAACACTTCAAATACGTCACCAAGCAAATGTCCTGATTGGACATGCAGACAAATTATTCAAAGGTATCTGACCAATTGAAGCCTGATCTCTACAAAGAACCGGTTCTCAATTCCCATCCACATTTACATCTCTTTGCACCGTTTTGTACTGCTTACGTATTCAAAGCCTGGATGCTGCTATTTTTTTTTAAATTCAGCCTTAAATACTTTAGTCTTACATACCGAGCTACAAATAATTAGTAGTTAGTTAACTCAAAATCACTATTTCCAGCGTTGGTGTTACCGTAATTATATCTTTAAAAAAAAATTGTAAATATAATTAGTGTCTGTGACACGGCTGGTTACGTGTTAGCTCTTTCCTGCTTCGGTGCTCGGACCATAGTTGGAATGTACAGGGGAGACTTAGCTCCAAGCTAACGTTAGCTCCGGGGCTAACTCCCTTCACTTTGTGCTTGTCCGCAGCAGAGGTAAACAGAAACAGGGAAGTTTCTGGAAGTCTACTACGACTTCTCACCTAAATTGTTTTTTTTTTTTTTTGTATTCCAAACAGTATATTACCACAACTGTGAGTGTACTGACCAGGTTCAAGTTCCTCCCCCTGAATCTATCTGCGCCCTTTCTTTTTTCCCTCTTCTCTTAGTTTGCACTTCATGGCAGTTTTTATCTCAAACGGTTAACAAACGTTTGTTATGGACAACTTCAACTGTGCTGTGACCTACCGATTTTTTTTGTATTGGCGTAGATTCATAAAATAAATACGACTGAAGACTAAAAAAATAGACTGAAATAAGGATATAAAATTGACTAAAAGTTGTAAAATAAAAAAAAAATACTACTACCTACCTTGAAAAGCTAAAGCCACAAAACATCACATCGTAAAGTCAGAAATAAAGAAACTGACTATCAATTGAAACATCAGAATGACGCCTGGTTAGACAATGACTCTGTTTCGTTTCCTTATACTGTATTATGTGTTGCAATAGCACCCTCTGCCGAGCAAAGGGTGTTACAGCTTTCAAATTAACCAGGGACACAGACAAGTTTAATACTATTTATTACTAGTAGAAGAAGGAGATCAAACTGCGCCACAGTGTCCTATCGCGATAGTTGTGTTCCAAGAACCACCGCGAAATGGGGAAAAATCGCGAAGTAGAGATAGCGAGATAGTTATTATATTACGTACGTACTGTATATATTTACCCTCCGCCACACTATCAACAGTCGAACAACAACAACAACAGTGCCGCCCTGTGTTCAACTTAGGTCATTACATTCATTAATGCTCACCATATGTATTTATATATATACATGTCATATGCTGTATACATGCAGGTATATTAGATATCTTATTTACCCACGTACTGTACATGTTTTTTTTGTATTACCCTGTATCTATGTGTTGCAAAATGTCTTTTCGTTTGACATACTGTTTTTTTCCCTTTGTAGGCTAGAAAATTATTATTTTTTCAAGAAATAATGAAAATATTGGAAATTAAAAAATACATATATTTACCTTAAAATATCGTGATATAGCAAAAATGTCGCGAGATCGGAATAAAAAAAAAGAATCAGACAGTTGAGTACATAAGTCTTTAAAGAAGTTAATTCTGCACTGGGAACACATCATCATTTTAAAAATGTTATTTACAAAGGGCTTAGGGCATCATGGAACCACCCACGCAGAGACATTTCCTGCCAGACTGGTGCCTAAAATATCCAGCGCTTCTCTACGGTGAAGACGTTACAGCACAAAGCCTTTTTGCAGTGCGGAACGAAATTCACTGTTGCACCAGTTTCGGCAGTCTGTCCCATACAGTCAAATTAAACCACTTCATCTAAGCCAGATTTTGATTAGATTTACCGTGGCAACCACAGCATGGGTTACAAAGACTCCTGACTTCACCTGACACCTAAATACGTTTGAAAACCGAGGCTAATTTGGACGATCACGCACTGTTACATTGCTCCAAAAATACGGTAGGCTGAATATTTACACTGTAACATCAGAGTAGAATTACATTTACAAAAAAAAAACCTCAGCACAATACAGCTAAAATAGCCCTCAAGCAATGGAATAAAATGTCAAAAATAGCTGAAGCTGAAACTAAGAAAAACCCTAAACCCAAAAACACCCGGTTAAAAAAAAAAAAAAAAAAATTTCCCCGCCAGCCCCCCCCCCACACACACCAAGCCTGTGACTGAAAGGGGAAAGTCCCCTTTTAACTGAGTTAAGAAGTGCACAAAAGTCCCCTGATTAGCATCACCTGTTGAACCACTTTGGAAAAAAACATCAAACTTTCTGTTTGCCCACTTCTTTCTGTCGTGGCTTACCTTAAAGTTGCCGCTGTACTCGTAGTACAGAGGTCTGAAGAAAACCTTCGCTTTGGGAATGTATGTAGCCGCTTTCCAAAACCTGGATAGGGGATTTCTTCCCCCATAGAACAGATGAAGAGCAAAAACCATTAGAATTTTTCTTTTTTTTAATTTTAATTAATTTAATTTTTCCTAATTAACATATGGCACATGTGGCTTTAAACCCAAATTAAAATGCTTGTTTTCACAATTGTTTCCTCGCTAAGACCTGCTCTCTGACTAATGCCCTGTGTGACTTCCTGTGTTTGTCTGCTATTTTGTGCAAAGAGCGCAGTGAGCGCTACTCTAGTTTCCGTACACGTAGGAGGTGATGCTAGGAAAGTCAAGATTAAAGCTGTGAGAAGGCAATAACCTTAGGCATGGAGTTTTTTTAACCTAACAGAACACATTGAAACCAGGAAATGTAATGACCTTTCACTGATTGGGCTTTTACAGATCACACTCTTGAATTTAGAGCTAATCAAAAACAATTACTTTATTCAGATGCAAGAATCTTGCGAATCTGAAATCCTCAAAGTAAAAGCAGTTTCAATTTTTTTCAAGTTTTGGATTATAGCCATCGAGAGCTACAGTTTAGTGAAGTGATTTTCAACCTGGGGGGTCGGGACCCCATGTGGGGTCGCCTGGAATATAAATGGGGTTGCATTTTTTTTTTCAAGTAATTATTATTCTTTTATGGAAACACCACACCAAATCTTAAACAGTTGTATTGTTTCCACTCTCTTTGTAGCACGTAGCACGTACAAATATAATAAGAGTTTGCAGTTTCGTACATGGTTTTTGTATATGGCTATTGTGGTTATTGACAATGTAATAATACGGCATTAGCTCTTTTTTTTTTCATAATTCCTAATAATGTCTAACTGTACATGTGATCAGAGAAAATAAAATGTCACTTTGCGCACTAATCTGTATAACAAACATGATCAAAAACTAATACTAGGGGAAAAAATGACTCCGGGGTCAACAGAAATTTACGATGTCAAAATGGCGTCACAAGCAAAGCAAAAAAAAAAAAAAGGATTGGGAATTACTGGTTTAATACTTACTGATTGTTTATCCAAAACAGCGCCAAGGGGAGGAAGGCGAGGAAAATGCAGATGGCCAGAATGATCCACTGGTACTGTAGATTTCCTGTAAGGACAACAATAACAATTGTAAAAAAAAAAAAAAAAAAGAAACAAACAAACCATGCATTGCCTTTTAATATCCCGCTTATTTGTAAAAATAACGAAAACCTACAAAAACCATCACGTTTTAATGTGATTGTTATCTGATAGCACAAAATGCATTGTGTTAAAGTGATTCTCTGCTGCCCCCTTTGGTTAATTTGTAAATTTTTGCACCCCCATTACCCTTCCCCCCCACCAAAAAAAAAAAGGACAGACAGACATAATTGGTTTTGAGACACGGTCGAAAGCAAAAATGAGAGTAAAAATAATGGCCTCCTTTGCGACCCATGTGGGCCACACCCCGCACTTTGGGAACCTCTGTGTTAACGCACATCAAAATGTGTGTGTTTTTTTTTTTTTTTAAAAAAAGGCAACAATGTGTCGGAGAACAGGAGAGAAAGCTCAAACTCGCAAACTAGTGCTAATGTGTTGTTAGCTTGTTAGCTAGATGGAGCGTTGGTGTGAACTAAGATAAACGACATGTAAAAGTCACGCATAAAGGCTAAAATGTTTTTAGCCTTTTCTACACCATCTATTGGTAAAACGTGGGCACTGCAGGGAAAAGGCAGAAGAATAATGATAATATAAATAAATTATATCATTTGGAAAAGTTTGGCGGGCCAGATTAAATAGCTGAAGGCTTTAGTTTGCCTGAGCCTGTTCTAGCTACTATTTTCAGCCAGTCACATTTGAATTAGGCCAACAAATAATAACTCGAATTCATTATATATTACGTACATATAAACAAACATGGAGAAATATTGCTTTCCTAAGCAGAGAAATATTCAATCGTTACAATTCAAATATTTACCTCCGTCTTCATTGTCTGCAGACGCATGTGTTCTCCACTCTGTACTTGCACTCCACTCACTCCATGGACCCTGATAAACATTTCCGGGACACATTTTGGCCTGCACATTCACCGTGTAGTTGGTGTACTGCTGCAGTTCCTTTGAGTCTAACCGAATGTACGTGTTTTCCATTAACGTAAAAATCCGTTCCTGTAGAGTAAGTTAAAAACAGAGCAGTTCAGAGCTTCTTCACAATTGTAGACATATACAGTACATACAAAAAGATACATACATAAATATATATAACAAATGTATATATATACACACACGTGTTTGTATATGTGTGTATACATATACACATACATATACATATATATATATTTACATATATATGTATTATATTACACATATAATAAATATATATTTAAATATATATTTTCAATTTATGATTTTTCCATACCTATGGAACCTCTGACCAACGACTCTCCTAGTGTACATTCGTGATAAAACTTTTGCATTATACTTGGAACGTGTCACTGTGATTGTTTAATACTATGGGATGTCTGATATAAACTTTCTGATTTTTTCGATTCCGATATCAACTGATGCCAACATAGCGGGGCAGTGGTGGCCTGATGGTTAAAGAAGCTAAGTGCCGCCTGCTCACTAAGGTAATGGGTTAAAACACTGTTAATTGAAGTACCTGGTAATATTTATTTGTTTGTACATTGTATGAATTGCGGGCACCAGCATTCTCCATACTATCCCAGGATTAACAAAATAAGCTACAATGCTGCCATCTAGTGACGAGAGGCTTGTTTATCGTTCATAATGTTCTGTTCCTGTGTTATGAAGGAGGAGTCAACAGTTATGGGTGTGGGACTGGAGGAAAAAAACAAAAACGATTCTATACATATATCACAAATTATATCGGGCCGATAATATTAGTCAGACGATATTGTCGGACATCCTTACTTAATACCCTAGGTGATCTTTTTTTTTTTTTTTAACCCCACAACTAACATTTCTAAATGTAAACCTATATAACTTCATTTCTGTATATTTCTGTATATTCAGAAAGACAAATGACAGGCCTAAGTATGGAAAAATGAGTATAAAACAGTATACATGTACATATACACTTACTATACACAGTACATACAAACATATATATATATGTACATATTTTAATAAATATATATATTATTTTTGATATGTGACCAAAAAACATTTATCTATAAAAAAAATGCGTTTATGTTTTTTAGTTTATTTTTTGCTATATTTTATATTTTTATATTTTTTAATTTTTTTAGGTTAGAAAAATTTTAATCATGAAAATAATGAAAAAAACATTGGAAAGAATTACTGTAAAATACCGCGATATAGCAAAGCTCTCGCAATGTTGTAATAAAAAAAAATCTGCAATGTACTGAGGGAGCGATGCAGAGCTATAAATAAAACATAATGCTCTGTTATCAAATATTATATCAAATACATCGTGAAGCTTCAAATGAATTGGTTTTAAAATGGAACGGGGCCAAAAAATTACTCCATTAATAAAACAAACAAACAAACAAACAAACATGTTACCTTGGACGAGTCTTTGCTCAGCCCTACTCTGACCCTGTAGGTCATACAGTCTGGCCTACTGCTGCGCATCCAAGAGATGTTGTAGGATCCATCACTAAGAGTCACTCGGACATCACTGGGAGGCTGAGGTTTCACTGCAAAATTTTTTAGAAAAGGAGATTATTTGTTAATTCTTAATTAATTATTTACTTCTTTTTTTTTTTTACAATTATTGGACAATTTACGACAATTTACAAGCCGCATTCTGCAGAGATAACAGCATGGCTTCACAGTCAATCAATAAAAATAAAAATGTTGTATTTTTTTTAAATTAAGCCTGGTATTTTTCCCCCCTCTTTTAACTGTTAAGACATACTGCGTTTTGTCACACTTTTTTTTTTTTCATCCTTTGGCTGGGTTTGTGATTTATATATTTAAATATATAATATTTTCACACTGATGGCCGCTAGAGGGCACTCTAGGCTTGTGTATCAGTATCTGCTACTCCTGTACCACCGAAAATTTACATGTTCGTTATTTTCACACTGATAGCCGCTAGAGGGCACTCTAGGCTTGTGTACCAGTATCTGCTAGTCATTACGTCACCCTGAATCATGATTTTTCTTTCACTATAATCTCCAATATACATGAACTGTGTTTTGCTACACATGTTTATTTGTAAATTAAAAAAAAACTTTTTCCTCCGAATATCTATGACATGTCATTATGTTTTCATATGTTTTGCAGATTTAGTCTCCAACCAACAAATTGGGGCAACGGCTGGGGCAAAACTGTTAAAAAGTACTGTTCCACATCAGAGGGTACAGTGAGTGTAATTTGCTGAGGCTGAATGATTAACCTTCATTTTGATCTTAAAATCTTTAGGGGGAAAAAAAAACAAAAAAAACGTTAATGGGTGAAAATTCTTAAAATCTTAAAATCTTTTAAAAGAAACAGCCATTGGGCGAAGACACTATTTTTGTACCCTGTTGTATCATTTCAAATAAGTAAATATATGCCATAAACACTATATTGTACAAAGTATTCATTTTCTCCATTCCACTTTTGTCTTGGCAAAAAAAAAAAAAAAAAAAATCTTACTATTTCAGTTCCAGAAGCAATCGTTTACTCGCTAGAACAAAAGTATTAATCAACATTTTAGTTATGCCAATGTCTGATCTTTTCATTGACTTACCAACATCACTCAGATCCCATTGGGATGCTTCACTGACTTCCTCCAGTATCTCCTCACTGCCGTGCTCACTGGCTGTGGCACTGCACCTGGTTCCGATAGATACGACTTCGTAGAGGTATTCCGCGTAAGCTATGCACCAGAGTTGAGGTGGTTTGACTTCGCATCTACCGTCGACCTTGTCATCTCCATTCCTATAACAGTAAACCAAAACTATTTAATTGCTGTTAATGTCATCCTTGCATTGTTCGCACTACTAATGTTCTTGACTATAGTAATATGTTATTCTTCATCATTCTTATTATCACGTTTGTATACTGTATTTTCCGGACTGTAAGTCGCACTTTTTTTTTTTCATCCTTTGGCTGGGTTTGTGACATAAACCCCGGTGCAACTTATATATTACCAGCAGATACAGCTTTTGTACCAGTATCTTCTACTCTTGTACCACTGAGAATTTACATTTGTTATTTTCACATTGACAGCCGCTAGAGGGCACTCCAGGCTCGTGTACCGGTATCTGCTACTCTTGTTCCACTGAAGATTTACTTTTGTTATTGCCACACTGCCAGCCGCTAGAGGGCACTCTAGGCTCCTGTACAGGTATCTGCTACTCTTGTTCCACTGAAGATTTACTTTTGTTATTGCCACACTGCCAGCCGCTAGAGGGCACTCTAGGCTCGTTTACCGTTATCTGCTACTCTTGTACCACTGAGAATTAACATTTGTTATTGTCACACGGACAGCCGCTAGAGGGCACTCTAGGCTCGTTTACCGTTATCTGCTACTCTTGTACCACTGAGAATTAACATTTGTTATTGTCACCCTGACAGCCGCTAGAGGGCACTCTAGCTGGCTGGTGCAACTTATACTACGGAAAAATTCGGTATTCATTCTTTTTTTTTTTCCAAACTATGTGTTACCTGCAGCTGAATTGTACGAAGAAAGGATGCTTCGGCACAAAGCCCGAACACGAGCAATTCAGTGACACATCGTAGTCCGTCGAGCAGGTGACATTACACAGAGACCTGATTGTGTCTGAAACAAAACAAAAAAAAATGATTCGACGAAGATCTTCCAAGATCTGAAAATGAAAAGCTAATGTTCCGCAACAAGTCAGTGGTAGACAACAATAGCCATAAACATAGAGTTTAGTTGTAAGCAACCGGATTTTTTTTTTCTTTGAGCTTGAAAGACGTTTGGTAACTGAGGAACTTGATCAGTTTTAGAAAGAAGAAGTTTCCTGAAACTGATGATGGACGAAACTGGTCTTTCAAACGCCAAGAAAAAAAAAATTCCAGTTGCTTACAACTAAACTCGGTGGATAACACGACATGGATGAATGAGAATCTTCACAGGCAGAAACAATGTTGTTTTTACTCTTCTTTACTCTACTCTTTAAAGAGTTTAAAAGTTTTTAAAAAAAATATATCAAATAGGCAGAAAAATTAGGAAAAGCTGACTTACCGGACTGAACGAGTGGGAGGCTCCACAGTAGTAGCAAGCCCACAAATTTAAGAGCCATGAGATGAAGAGGTTTTAGTGAATGGAAGGATGTATGCAAAGGGAACGGCTGAAACTAAAAAAAAGAGAAAAAACCTTTTTGTACGGATCACATATCAACAACATCTACCCAGACATGTTAAAAAAAAATGAAAGAAATGGCGACTCCTTAAATGTTATAATCGCAGAAAAAAAAAAAAAAAATTAAAAGATCTATAAACTCTATAACTTGTTATTTTAAATACCGCCACTCTCGCCTACTGAGTCACTGAGTTTCAGTGTGCGATTACTAACGGAACAGGGTTATGCATGTGTCATAGCGAAGGCGTCAGCAATGTGGTTTCAGACGATGAGTGGCGTCAGCGTGATGCCCTTTTCGAATATGCGGCTTCTATGAATAGAAGCCGCATACATTTAATCAGATTAAGGGGAAAAAAACATAACAAGAATCTGCAGTTCAATGAATCATTTATATAAAAGTCATTTTCAAAAGAGATATATATATATAAAAAAAATCCTAGCTTGTCTTATTTATGACTTGGTTAATTTAAAATTTTTTTTACAGATTTACAGAATCATTTGAGCTAGTTTGCTGTAAATCCTTTTTTTAAAAAAAAAAAAAAAAAGTCCCGGGGACTTATTATCAAAACATGGGAAAGAACCTTTAAATAATCCCTCTAGCTACTGATCCACAACATCAGCAGCCGATCAAAACATGGGAAAGAACCTTTAAATCATCCCTCTAGCTACTGATCCATCACTAATGAACACCTGCTCCAAAACGTCAGTTGGGGAGTTCACTTGTTGTTTTTCCAAAAATCAATCAGTTGTGTTATATTACTTAACTTATTATGCTCTGAGATCAAGACTCTTTCCTCCTTTTTTTTTTTTTTTTTTCTCCTCACCCTCTGTAACTCCCTCGCAGACAACACCCGTACATGCAACACCGTTTGATTAGGGGTTTTCAGAACAACTGCAGCAAGGTCTGAATGACTCATTCATAGCCTGCTGCGGTGGGTGTGCAGAGTCACTCTGAGCTCGCTGTTCACAATCGATTGACTTAACGTGCTAAACTTTCAAATTGATGTAAATACTTTATTATTAAGCCTTACCCTGAAGATACTTTGCATACGGTATTTTTTTTTTTCGATCTTTAAAAGTCCTTTTGCCACACAATATAACACAGAAAACGTGTTTTGAAACTGTAATTATTTTGGGAAGTACCTTCTTGTTGTCCTTTTTGAATACATTTTGTTATGACTACATTAAAGATTGTTTTTACGTATTTATGAATCACAATTGAAATAACTTTTTTTTTTTTTTTACTGAATTGCATTTAAAAAATAAAAATAAAAACATCCCAAGTAAATAAATGCTGAATTGTATGAATACAAGAAATGGATTATTTTTCTTGTGATTCAAGAATCATTTTTAACATTTGTCTTTTCTGTTCCCTGGTCTGTGTGCAACGCTGCACAACATAACAGGAAACTGCAAGCGAGTGCAGATTATTGCTGCACTACTAAAGCACAAATTTGGAATTGCAGTCATGGCTGCTCGAGCGCAATTTCGTTACATGCTAGCGGTGCGTTAATTCGACTTGTTATATTCTTTTATCAAGAGGATCCCGGACGAAGGATTATGGCAAATGATCAAAATGTTTACAATAAAAAAAAAAGTATTTCCCGAAAGGGAAGTAAACTAAAATAAAAAAATGATTTTTTAAAAAAAAGGGGGGGAAGGGTATTTTTGCAAAATGCAAATAGGGTTTAATTATTGTAAACTTTACTGTAAGCCTTTCTGTGTGCAGCTGTGTGTGTGTGTGTAAATCAGTTAAGCTCATAGTTACTGTAATGCAACAAACCAAGAAGTTCATTGTGGCACTGCTGTTAACTTTCTAATCTCTCCTCACTTTCCAATTTCACTACTTAATCAAACAAATATATAAATATATAACCAAAATATATGCTTTCCAATTTCACTACTTAATCAAACGAATTGACAAAATGGGAAACCTAAAATATATATATAAAAAAAAGCATTTCTAAAAACTATTTCTACCGTTGGCCAAAAATGCAGTTGACCAACGACTGCAGCCCAACAAACGCATGAAAAGTCAACATGGACAACTATCACTAGCGCTAGACGCAAAGACCAAAGTAAAAAAAGTCCAAAGTAACGTTTCAGGTTTTCAAAAACAAAAAAACCCAAAAACACTATGAATAAATGAATAAAAATGTGCTCTTACTTTTACTGCCTCGCCCTCGAAATCATAATCCAACGCAGCAAAACTGTAATGACTGAACGACTAAATCTCCCAGTCTGCTTCACAAATAGTTTTCCATCCAATCGTAAAAATTCGATCGTAAAAAAACACGTAGATTTGATAAGACAGGTGGAGTTTCCGGGACTCTAATGATGTTATTGTGATTCTATGTGAGCCGTATCATTGTTGCCTTTAGGACATTCGTGTACACACATACACTCTTTACGCTTCCAAAGCCTACATACATTCAGATAGAGCCCCCACTCTTCCCGGAATCAATACCCTTTGGTGACAGGAAGTCAGGTGTTCCGCAGGACGCCCTTTGACCCAAGCCACATTTCTTGGCCTTTCTCCGCACACGTCTATATGAGGACACCTAAACTGATAATCGCTCAACATTATTAACAGTATGAATAATTATAGTATCGAAAGTGGTGCGTCTTCCGAACACGAAAGATTTCTTGTAAATTGCACTCAGTAAACAAGGTTTCTCTTCAGTGCGACAATAGTGCTTTCGTCACTAGAATTAGAACGGGTTCCTGCGCAATAAACTTAATGACTGATAAAAGCCACCGCGCAATGTGTGTCAAAGTTCAACTCAGCATGAATATTAAACTTACGTTATTGGTCCAAATTTCAGTTGTAAAACTCTTCGTACCACTTTTACGGTTAGCCCGCAGTGCACTGCTAATCCTTTCTTAAACAGGAAACACACAGATCTTGCATTCAGATAAATCAAAAATATTAGCC